AAAAAATCTGGAGTTAAACTAGTAGAATGGAACTTTCTACTCTGCTGTCTTTTCTGAGGGTCCCCAAACATCCAAGGCCTATTCACAGTGATTAATTCACTTAAGGGAGGAGAAAATAATCCGTGAGGTTATTATTTATATTTTTGAGGTGCCATTGACTTAATGTGCTTGGAGTTTTGCAATCATTGCAAGTAATATCAAAAATGTATCAGAATCTAAACTAAGTCAGTAAAAATAATATGTGCTCAAGCTATGAACTTTATTTCCTTACCCTAAATCTAGAGCAAGACTTATGCAAAGTGACAGCACCATTCTAGTCTGATTTAATTTACCTCTTTTCGGGCTTGAACACTATTTTTCTGAAGTATCAGATGAAAACTCAGCGAAGAGCTTCTTTTAGTTCACCCAGCTATGCTTTCAGCGTAGTGAAGCCCATTTTTTTCACTGCCATAAATATTTCATTATTATTGTTTCTGTCCTCTGATGACAGATGACAGATTGACAATACCTTCCAGGCAATTTTTAAGGATATCCAAGAGATATGTTTCAGACTGTCCTGTCCTTATTCTGAAGTTTATGGTGTCACTACTATGCCCTGATGACCTCCATCTCTCCAGTTGATCACATAGTGTGGTCTTCATCTCATCCCTGGCCCATAAATGAAAAGGGCGTAAAATATTGTGAAGAGTAAAAGTATCCTTTTCACCCTTGGGGTGACAACTTTCACATCACAGCTTCAAGATATACGTATAATTTGTGATATTTTTCCATTTATGTCAGTGTGATCAAAGGTGCATTTTGGGTAACATGGGCATGTTATCCCCACACACAACACACACTGAGACAGTTTTGAAACCAACTTCTTTGTAGGTTTCTTACAAAACAGAAGAGAGGTAGGCACACTACCACTGCTTTATTGGGGGAAGAAAAGGGGGCGCATTTATGCAATTCCATGTTAGCGTAACCTGAACATACAGATTGCAGTGGCCTTACTTTGCTTTGTTACAGTTTCCAGAAAATAATGGGGAACGCTAAACTCACACATAAAAACACATATGTTCCAGTTTCCTTATAAATGACAGGTTCAATCATACGCCCCTTCAAAAAAAAAAAAAGACAGGACTGTCTAGAAGCTAGTCAATTTGAGAAACTCTCTGCAGAAATGTTTTCCTGTGTGATAGCTTACTTCAGTTCATTTTAACTTGAAGGATCTCTATGCAGGATGTATGTAGGGCTGTCAAATCTGCCTAAAGTGAGGATCCCAGGTAGAGCTCTGAAGTCAACCTTGCTTTGCTCACAGTACAGCACTCCAGTGCTGAATGCCTTCTTCCCTGGCTGATGAGGTGCTGAAAGGAGAGGACTGCCAATCCAGAAGAGACAAGCCTTATCTGCAAATGAATGACATCTCACAGATCAGGACAATGTCATTTGGCAGGATAGAGATTAGCAACAGGGACCACAGATTTTGTGTCAGCCTGGTTTTGTGCAAAGACCAATGGATGGGACTTTAATATAAAAGGGCCCTATGCTATTCTAAAAGAGGATATTATAAGTCTGGATACTAACTTTTCCCAAATTCCAGTTCATGCACAACACTATTAAACAGGGAGCATAGTACATTGTCACCTAGATTTCTTTTTTGGCTATCAATTTATCTGTTCCAAGTGGAAGGAAAATGAATACAGGGTATATGTTTGTGTACGTGTATGTTCCTTTCACATAACATATAATTAAGCTATGGAATTCACTATATTACAAATAAAGTAATTATCACCACCCTGAAAGTTTGTCTATGGAGTAAAATTACCTGTGGTAACCCTAACCCTAACTCTGACTTTCCATCTAGGAGCTCGTTACATTGACTACGCATTGCACTATTCCTCCTGTTTAACTCCAGAATGAAAACCCTGTGAGATAGATGGTTAAGAGACAATGGCTGATTCAACTGAACTTCCATAGCTGAAACTTAAGCCTGAACTCAATCTCTGTCCCACAACTAGTACTACTAACATACTAGTCAATATTTAAGAGATGAATTGCTACTATGCTCATGTCCTGCTTAGAAATCTGGATTAAAAGCACCTTTACTTGGATTCATTGCAACTGTTACTGTTACTGTCACTGTCCCTGAAATATAGGGAAAGAATGGAGGGGAAAAAAGATTCAGGAAAGTCAGATATCCCTATGATTATTCCAATTCAAGAAATCAAAAAAGGATTGTGACAATCTAGACACATGATTAGCATTCTGCCTTGGTTGTGCTGCAATGGAGGAGGCAGATAAACCCTGTCTACACAATCAGGACAGGGTTAGTTAGGATTCAACAGATTCAAGGGCAGCAAACAGATTCCAATGGCAAACAACACATTAGAGACAGGGAGCCACAACACTGCGCCCTCACACATCAAAACCACCTTAGCAGAGAAATGGCCCTTCTTCTTCTTCTTCTCTCTCTCTCTCTCTCTCTCTCTCTCACACACACACACACACACACACACACACACACATGTGATGCCCAGAAAATATACAGCTATGAGTGTGTGTGTGTGTGTGTGTGTGTGTGTGTGTGAGAGAGAGAGAGAGAGAGAGAGAGAGAGAGAGAGAGAGAGAGAGAGAGAGAGAGAGAGAGAGAGAGAGAGAGAGAGAGAGAGGGAGAGAGAGAGAGACCCAACAACTCCTATGCACCTAGATTTAGAATTTATTTCCTGGGACTGAAAATTGAAAGAATTGGATAATTTGATTCAAATTACGATTATTCTCTCCTTCTGTGATCTTTACAGAACAAAACAGAGGAGAAAAATGGTATGTTTAATGATGTGTTTTAATAAGTTAAAAAACTACTCTAGGAAGAGAGAGAGAAGCACATTTATTAGTTTGACACATATTTTAGTGATAACCTCTTGACTGAATTGTACTTCTTTAATTTATAATCCCAAGTGCCCATGCCTATACTGTATTATGGCAGTAACAGCACTTAATTCTTAATAATAACCTTAAGATTGCATTATTACTTATTTTCAGAAAAGGCAACCTCGGTTTCAGTAAAACTTTCAGCTGGATAGTAAATAAGTTGCAACTTTTTAGACATTTGCTAGGAAATTCCCAACGTGTCCTTCCAACCAAAGTTATTTGGGTATTCCACAAACATTTTTATTCACAGTTTGGAAGCAAATGCTGTTGGAATATATGACTTTTTAAAAAAAATACAGACTATACTGTACTGTGCAGACTGCAATAAAAGTATCTTCTACATTCACACAGGTTACATACTGACAGAAGGTGAAGAAGTAAACCAGCACAATTTTTCAAAATAAGCAGCCGCTTTCCTCTTTCTAACGCTTTTGTAGATTTTTAAGGTGAAGTAACACCACAAGTTTAAATATTCCCCATTCCCACTACATATCTGCTGGCAAAATGGTGTTCTCTCAGCTTAGTTGTTGGCTTGCAAACGTTTCATTACCCAACTAGGTTAACACCCACCGATTGGATAAGTCTTAGTTGCTTTGATCCTGACCGGTTCTGGAATCTCCCTGAAAGCTGCTCAGATCTGTCCTTCTCTCTCGTCAGTTACCAGTTGCCCTTAGCGAAGACTAAAAAACCGCAAGATCAATAGTGGTGTTGTTGTTTTTTTAATTTCCCTGATTCAAACCACCAGCACCACAAGCAGCATCTGCGGGTAGAGTGCAACACACTCCAGGTTCCCTCAAGAACAAAGCCCCTCCCCTAAGTACTACCGCGCGGAATTAGCTTCCACAATCTCCTCTACTCCGCGTCCAAAAGAAAAAAGAAGATGGGATTTGAGGCATTATTAGACCGCCCTTGCCGGCGAGCGGTTTCTGCTCCGCTGCGCCCTCCGACCCAAATCCAATTCCTATTTTGCAGCCGGAAAAGAGGATCGATCGAAGTAAGCTCTGCCTACTTTGCCTGGTCGCTCAGCATCCAGGGAAGCGGGGAAAAGACTGGTCGGCTTTTGGGGGGGGGGGGCAGTCATCTGTTTGTAAATGTGTCTCTCTCTCTCCTCGCCTTCCCCCTGTTAAATTACACCCACAAATCCTCCCTTGCTAATTTTAATTGGCTTCTGCCCTCTAACCCGGCCTACCTCTTGGGGAAGTTTTGCCAACTTGCTTGTGTTTGGAGGACTCAACGGTCAGCTTTCTCATCGGGGAAAAAAAAAAATCCCTGCAGAATCTGGGGCAGCGAAAAGGCGAACGCCTTAAAACCGGGCCCCTTTATGGGAAACCTGCCCCCAAGGCTGGGGAGTCTCTCCGGGCACGTGCCAAGCGCGTTCCACTTTCTAGCGACACAGCAGCAGCCCCTTAACGGGGCCCGGAAGGCCCACGCGGGACTCTTGTCAAGCTTAGCCCTGGGCAGGACTTGCTTTGAAGGATCCCGTTCAGATCGGGAGACCTGCAGCTCAGGACTACAGATTTAGTTGCGCAGAGCTAACTAACCCAAACCTCGATTGTAAGGATTATAATTCCAAACGTGAAACATAGCTCTAAACCAGGGGGTAGGCAACCTTGGCTCTTTTATGACTCGTGGACTTCAACTCCCAGAATTCCTGAGCCAGCCGTGCTGGCTCAGGAATTCTGGGAGTTGAAGTCCACGAGTCATAAAAGAGCCAAGGTTGCCTACCCCTGCTCTAAACAAAAGAAATGGAAAGTGCGTGCAAACACGCCCCCACCCCCACCCTCCCACTCCCAGCCTAAATCAAAGCAGAGCCCTTGCTGAGACAGGGACTGCAGCCCTTCGGTACCACCCCACCCCTGACCTCCGCCGAGGGCCTCACACCAAGCCTGCAAACTGGCCGGGACTTCCCTGAAATCGGCAGCCGAGGGGTCCCGTCGACAGACCGGGCGATCGGGTGAAATCCCCTCCCTCCCTCCTTCCCTCCCTGGTGCAGAAGATGCGCTGGGCCAGCAAAGGCGGAGGACCGGTTCCTCGCGCGAGGTCCGGGACCCGCCGGGCCGCGCGAGGCGCCCGGGCCGCGTGTCACTCACCGACGCACTCGTTGGCTTCGCGAGCGGTGGCCCTCTGCCAAGGCCTGTCGTAGTGGAAAGGCTTGCAGCGGTCGCACTCGGGCCCGGCCGTGTTGTGCTTGCAGTCGCAGACCAGGTGGTCGTCGCGGTCGCGGACGCAGCGGGAGGCGTGCCCGTTGCACTTGCAGCGGCCGCCCACCTGCAGGTCGGAGACGGCGTAGTAGTAGGAGTCGCGGGCCAGCTCGGAGTCGTCCTCGTTCTCGTCGCCGAAGGTGTGGAGGCGGCTGAAGACCACCTTGATGTCGGTGGCCGTCACCCAGTCCTGCAGGACGGGCGAGTTGTCGAAGTCGTGGGCCGAGGGCCGGCCGTCGAGGGTGCTGAAGGCGATGAGGCCGCCGCTCAGGGGCCGCATGTCGGTGTGCGAGTCGGTGCAGATGGCCTCCTGCTCGTTCTGCTTGGTGATGGCGGCGCGGTTGGGCTTGTTGTACATCTTTCGGCACTGGGTGGAGTAGAACTGGAAGGGCACCCAGCTCTTGCCGCCGTCCATGGACTTGGCGATGGCCATGGACTCCGGCCGGGGCGAGCAGAACTGCAGGCTGACGTAGGTCACCTCGAACTTCTTGCCCAGCGCCAGCGCCAGCGTCACGTTGAGCGGGTGCTGCACGAAGCTCTCCGACTGCCAGCAGGTCAGGTTGTGCGGGTTGTTGAGGTCGGTCAGGTAGGAGGCCGGGTGGGCGCGCTTGGGGTCGGCGGCGTCGCACGGGTGGCAGGCGCGGCTCCGCTCCTCGCCCTTCTCGGCCAGGGCGCAGTAGCGCGCCGGGGGGCGGCCGCAGGTGCTCGACACCTTGACCTCCTTGCCGAAGGCGGCGTTGACGAAGTCCGGGATGCAGCGCCGCGGCTGCCCGTTTTCGTCGTAGCAGGGATCCGGCTGCGGGGCCGTCTGCACGGCGAACATGTTCAAGCCGTAGCCGCCGCCGCCGCCGCGCACCCCCTCCGCCAGGCAGGCCACCGCCGCCAGGGCCACCAGGGCCTCCCAGCCCGCCGGGGACATCCTGCCGGCCAGCCTGCCTGCCTTGCCTCCCTGGTGGGCGCTGAGGGGAGGGAGCCTGTGGAGAGAAAGGAGAGAGCGCGGGTCAGCTCCCGAGCGCCGGACACCCCCCCCCCCGGCCTTTGCGCCTGGACTCCCCCCGGCCAGAACCGCGGGGTTGGGGCGCAGACCTCCCGGCCTGTCCCCGCGCCCGCTGAGGCGTGAGTGGCGGACTGCTGGGGCTCGTCCGTCCGTCCGGGGTGGGGGACACACAAAGAGGGTGTAACCCTGTCCGCGGGCGGAAAAGGAGCCTCAGAGGAAGAGCGGCCCAGCGAGTCCGGGAGCCGCTTGACTGACAGTCCGCCTCGGTTGAAAAGGCCGCTTTGAGAAAGTAGTAGGGCCCAGTCACCCCAGTAGGGCTTCCTCTCTGCTAAATCGTTCCCCCCCCCCCTTGTGCCAAGTCAGCGTCAGCCTGCCACGCATCCCAGTGGGATTCCGAATCTGGTGGTGGCGTTTGCGAAACCAGACTCGGATGGATTCGCACAAACTACCTAGCCCCAATCTGTACTCGGGTTCAGGGCACGGGGGAGGGGGGAAACCTGGCCCAGGAGTTCAGGGCAAGGACTTGGGACCTTCTCAATTTCAGAGCCACCGTTGCTCTCTGTCATAAGGCGACGCATAAACGCACAAATAAATGAAGTATGAAGTATGAAGCAAGGTTCAATTAACCAAGGATCAGCGAGCCTCGTGGGTTCGCCTATCTCGCTAAGTCAAAATGTGATTTGGGTCACCCAGGACTTAAACACTGTTAAGTGTGAACCGGGGCCTTAGAACAGGTTAGACCAACAGGGGTTAACATCTAAAGGCTTAGCCCGCTGGAGAAACCCTCTCCACTCGATCTTTGGAAGGACTCCGAAGGGCACCCAGCAGCATTTTTTGCCCAGTGGAGATTTATTGTCCTCGGATCAATTTAGACCTCCTTTTTTGTAGGTAACTGCTTTCTCAGGAGAATGAGAAAGGTAGGACAACCATTTCGACCTACCGAGGGAGCTTGACACCCTCATCCTCCTGACTTTCGGGGACATATGATGCCTCTCCCCCTGCGCGGAAGTCTCCATCGGGCACCAGGTAAAGCGCACACATTCCCTCAGCTTTTCTCTCGCGCAATCGGTTTTGAGAGGGCAGTCTTGGATTTCCACGGGCGAAATTGTAGTTACAAAATCCCTTTCAGGGAGATAAAGGTCGAATGGAGCGGATCCACAGACTTTCTACTTCTGCTGGCTCGAAAATACCATCTGAAGGACTCCCAGGGCCTTGGGTCTTAGCTTGTCCAGCACCCTTGGGCTTAGACCAGGGATCCTCAACCTTGGCAACTTTAAGACTTGTGGACTTCAACTCCCAGAATTCCTCAGCCCTGGGAATTGAAGTCCACAAGTCTTAAAGTTGCCAAGGTTGAGGACCCCTGGCTTAGACTCAGTCAATGCTTATGAGGGGGCCATGGAGTCCCTTTTCTTTTACCTTCCTTGCCCCGGAGAGCCTGCTTTTGAAATTGAGTCCCCTGTTTCTCTGAGGACCGACTGATCCCCAAGATCACAGCAATGTAGGAAGCTGCGCAGCTGAAACTGGTGGTTCTCCTTGCCTATACACCCAGCCACACATTTTCCAGTTACATTTAAGTCTGGTGGAGGGGGAGAGGGTGGGACAACGCAGGGCTTCAGTGTGTCGCAACTATCCAGGCAGTTGGGTAGTATTAAGTATGAAGCAAGGTTCAATTAACCAAGGATCAGCGAGGCTCGTGGGTTCGCCTATCTCGCTAAGTCAAAATGTGATTTGGGTCGCCCAGGACTTAAACGCTGTTAAGTGTGAACCGGGGCCTTAGAACAGGTTAGACCAACAGGGGTTAACATCTAAAGGCTTAGCCCGCTGGAGAAACCCCCTCCTCGTGAGTAATGGGAAACATTTTCTTAGCGGAGCGCTCGGGATATTGCACCGCAGAGGAGAAACCCGTTTCTCTTTCCCCAGAAAGCCCTCCTCCGAAGGGGTTCCTTCTGCTTCCCTCCGCGAAGAAACGGCCTTCAGAGCGCAGCCTGAGCACGCCCCCAAGTTTTCTGCTGGGGATCGGTCCCGAGTTGGCGCGACCAGGGCAAGAACGCAAGACTTGGGCTCCCAATTCACGCTGGGGAGGCGGCGATTACCTGCCACCCGCAAGATCTGCCACCGACGGAAGAAAGGCGAGGACGGGGCGAGGAAGCTAAATTTCATTTCTCCCCCCCCCTCCCTCCCTCCCCCAGCCCCGCACAATCAGTTCAGTCCGGCCCCCGCAAACCCTGCCAGTCAAACAAGCGCCGGTCCAAAGCCCCTCGGGCGGTGGGTTCGCTTTCCCAACGAACGCAGGTGGGACCAGACAGGAGAACGCTGCACGGTTCGAAAGAACACCCCCCCCCCGCGAGCCCGACAGGGAGACGTTTGCGAAACTCGCGGCTGTCCCGCGGGGAGCCCTGGCCGGCGGGACCGCTCGGGGCGGGGGGGGGGGCTCTTGTTGCTTCCTCGGCCGGGGAAAGAGCCCGCGCGGCCCCAGAAGGCGGCCGGAGAAGTCGGGAGGCGGCGAGAAGTGCTCGGTCCCTCCTTTGGCAGGCAGCGTCGTCCCGCCTCGGGCGGGCAAGCCAGACACCCGCTCTCTTCGGGGGGGGGGGAGCGGTCAGCTGGCCTCCCCACCCCGGAGCCCGCCCTGAGCTGCCCCCCGGGAGCAAAGGAGCTGCTGCTCGCTGGATAGCTGCCTGCCTCCCGGGGCTCCTTCCCGAGCTACCTTGGCCGCAGCCGGTCGCTGGCTTCCTCCGCGGGGGGACGCGGGCAGGCGCCGCTGCAGGCGAGCTGGAGCCTCTCAGGGGTCTCGGTCGGTGCCCATCGTGCTGTCCCAGCGAGCGGCCAGGCTGGGCGGATGTCGGGCGCGTGTGAGGCTGCAAAGTCGGGCCGGAGTTGAGGTCATCCCGGAGGAGTGACACCCCGTGGGCTCGCGCGGGGGAAGAGAAAACGGCATCCACTGGCGGGGGTGGCAGCTCTCGCGACGGACGGAGGGGGCGGGGGGCGGGGGGGGGGGGGGGGGGGGGGGGGGGGGGGGGGGGGGGGGGGGGGGGGGGGGAGGGAGGGAGGGAGGGAGCCAGAAGGGGCGGCCCCGGGCACTCGTGCACTTGCGAAAGGG